CGCTGGCAGAGGACCCCCGCACCTGGGCTTTTTCTCCCAGTCGAGTCCTCAACACGGACTGCTGAGCGCCTTGCACCACCAGTAACGGTCCTCGTCCAGCAATATGGATGGCACTTCAGCTTGTGACAACGCAGAGAAAGTGGCCTTTATTCTCTTGTCTTAAAACTAAAACTAGTAAATTTGTGTTCCTGGAAAATATTTAGTTCTTCCATCGCTCTAATAAGTTTGGCAAAGAGTACAGCCTATAATATAAAACTTCATTAGGTCTAATTATCTCCTGCCACTTCCTCTGTCTTGTTTTAAAATATTCTTGTCTGCATTTTGTTATCAAATAAGGCATCACGTAATGATTTCTAAAGACTTACATTCGCTTTATATGAAGCAGTTGTGGCATATTTTAAGGTAATATCCGAAAATTCTGCCTGGACGGAATGCAGATAATCGCTAAAATCATTAATTATAATAATCAACCTATCGGCAGAGACTGGAAATGACAGCTTCCTAAATACGAAACAAGAAATGTTTCAACACCCTGATGCTAGACAAAGGTGAGCAGTGGCCCCAATTTTGACTTTGCAATTAATGTACTGGAAGACTGTAATTGGATGCAAATGGTCACGGTTTCTTCTTTTGATCAAATCGTATCTAATGCTTAAACTCAAAAACACCAGTAAAACATTCTTACCCTTTGGAGTTGAAGCTAATATAAATAATATTTAATAATGTACACATTACTTTAAAGAAAACACCACTTCACTATTAAAAAACAACTGGTTAATACTGTGTATAGAAATAACTGCTGTTCACGTAAAACCAAAATTGATATTTATTTATTGTTAAAGCAGGTGGAGCATACCACTGGGCTTTAAAGAATTTAAAGGCTCTAGAGTAATGTAGTGGTATAATCCCATATTATTACAATGATTTTATTCTGCGCTGAGAAGTGTCTAAAATTATTTGTTTTAAATTCAAGGAAGTACAAGAAACAATTCAATTCTAAAAGGTTCTGACGACCGTAGTTTACACTTAATATTATTCATTATCAGGACTTTTTAAAGAAAAGACGATGGAAAAAGTTCTGACAACGAATAATTTCAGGTATAAGGAACAATACTGAGAACTGTACTCGATTATGAATTAAATATACCGAAAAACGTCATGCAGTAATCTACTGGCGCTTACTATTAAATATCTTAATCACTTTCATTTATGTTTTATTATTTAATTACTATTATTATAGACAAGTCTGAAGATGTGTTACCCGAAAAGAAACTCATTATACTAGTGAATATTGCAGAACTTATAATAAAATTGTTATACTCTCTCAACTGCATTGTGCTCAGTTCGTCTAGACAGTGCTTCAATATTATTACAAGATTTCTCAGGCGATTCAGTATTAATGTGGATCCTCTTTCTCGATGGTGACAGGATGTAAACGTATGTTATATTTCCAACGTTACAAAGGTCCATCTTCAAGGCTCCGCTACGATATAAGAATCCCCGAATCGTCAGGAGTAATGCAGAGCCTATTTTTACATGGTGCTATCAGCCATAATCAATCAATTATTAAGTTGAGTTTTCTATACAGCGGATTGCTTCAGCCTAACACGTGGATGTTCGCCGTCCACAGCTCTAATGTATCTATCTGTAGTAGCGATATTCTCTTACTATGCAATATTTATTCTTAGAGCCACATATAT